AGGCCACTAAAAGGGAGACCAGCCCTAGCTGGTTTAGCTCAGTGGATAGAGCATCGGCCTGTGGACTGAAAGGTCCCGGGGTTTGATTCCGGCCAAGGGCACATGCCTGGGTTGCAGGTTGGATCCCCAGTAGGGGGCATGCAGGAGGCAGATGATCAATGATTCTCATCATTGATGTTTCTCTCTCTCTCTCCTTCTCCCTTCCTCTCTGAAATCAATAAAGAAATATATTTTTTTAAAAAACAAACAAACAAACCTCAGGTCAGTGTCTGGACCACAGACACCCGCATGTTATGAAGGCCCGCTCTGGCTCCACGTCACCGAACCAGGTATTAAATCCGCAACCTGACCCCGAGGACACCACGATTCTAGGACATTCCTCCTGCGTCCCTTACCAGTATGGTGACCTGCAGGCCCCCTTACCCTAATCGTCCGGACAAGGGTGTTATGTCCACCGGCGCCCCGGACACCCCCAACCACAGACAGACTTTGTGGTTCCCCTCAAACACTTCAAATCCCGTTCCCACGTAGGTCCCCTTAACTAGCACCTCCCGGGCGCCAAAACCTGATTCCTCGAACCGCGGTGGTAATTCCACGCTCCACACAACACGGCGTGGGTCATCCTGTGGGGAACGAAACTTTTTTTTTTTTAATAAGTTCTTTATTTTTAAGCATGTTGTTGTTGTTTTTTAAATATATTTTATTGTTTTTTTACAGAGAGGAAGGGAGAGGGGTAGAGAGCCAGAAACCCATGAGAGAGAAACATCGATCAGCTGCCTCCCACTGGGGATGTGCCCGCAACCAAGGCACATGCCCTTGACCGGAATCGAACCTGGGACCCCTCAGTCCGCAGGCCGACGCTCTATCCACTGAGCCAAACCCGTCAGGGCAGGAACGAAACTTCTGTGAGGAAAAAAAAACTTCCGAAAAAAAAAAAAAAAACTTCCGGGGAGAACAAAACCCACACTCACCTGAGTTTTGGTCCCGACCCTCGAGGAGCGCACAGCCACTGTGCGTCCGCAAAGCCTTGGCAGCGTCCGCACCTTCCCGCTCGGCCTACGGTGGCCAATAGGGGACCGAGGTTTTAGAGGCAAAGTGTGGGATTTCCGGTACGTATGCGTTGGCGATATGTCGGCGCCCTTCTTCGGTGGCGGCGTGGGGGCCGCCATATTCGGACACCTGCCTGCCGTACA